AAGAAACTTAAAATTGCAACTCAGCCACATGAGTGTACATTTATACCTGGAAACACAAAGGACAGCGACAACGTTGACATTTTTAAAAATCAATTTCTAAACTAATTTGCTTCTTTAATAACCACTGAAGAAAGTTGTTTATGTTGAATGAGATGAGATGAGATACCTTGATTTTTGTAAATTATCTTCCTTGTTGCCTCCGTACCTAAGCAGCCTGTGGCTCGACAGCAGTCGGTCTGTTTTAAGTCAGTTCTTAGAAACGTACAAACGTGCTTTTGATATGAGAATGTTTCTTTAGCGTTTTCTAGCTCCAGGGTATTTAAATGGACGCACACACTCACAGAGACACAACAGTCCTGCTGCTGTTGGGAGTCACAGAGACTCCATTCTGTCGGAGGGAACGCCTCTGTTTATTCTCCTCTCCTCAGCCATGTATCAGGCTAAATGAGTCTCTCTGTGTGTTTATTTTCTCAGCCCTTCTAGGGTGATGTGTGGAGAGCTTTGTTGTTTACAGGGACACGATTTGCTTTTGTTAAACAGCACATGTGAAAAGTATAGGTTGCTATTTGTATGTATACGCTCACAGTCCTGGACTCAGTGCACCGCAGTTTCCAGTGTATTATACAGCTGCTCAGACAATAATGCCCTATTGTTTATTGTTTTTGTGTGTGTATGTATGTGTGTGTGTGTGTGCAGGTACAATGGCTCTCTGCCCAATGGTGACCGAGGTCGACGTAAAAGCCGTTTTGCACTTTGTAAGCGACCGAAGGCAAATGGGGTGAAACCCAGCACAGTTCACGTCGCCTGCTCTCCGCAGGCAGCCAAGGTGAAACACGTACACACACATATGAACACAACATAACACACATTCCACTTCTGTTTTTTTTCAACCTGGAAGACGCCGAAGCTCTATCAAAGAAATAAATGTAAAGAGTACAGTGGACATTAACTGATCGTTTTCTTCCAAAGTCCTGGGAAGCCGACCAGAAATCCTTGAATATCTCTGAGAGGTGTGTCGGGGTGTGTGTAGACTTTGTATTTGGTTTAACATCTGTACTTAATAGATTCTCAGACACACACACACACACACACACACACACACTCAGGCCAGGCTTTTAGCTGAGCTGCGATCATTTAAAGAGTCTGGAGGAGTGATTGTCCCTCTGTCTGTTGGGTGGTCCTGATTCACTGAAAAGACATTGGAGTCTGTCTCACGTCCAGCTTGGGACTTCACGATCTGAACTCTTCACCCACCCCGCCCTTCCTTTGTATATCTTTTAGTCTGTTTAAGGATCAGTGAAGAAATATGAGAAGTGTCTCTGCTATGAAGAATCTTCCTTGTTAACATTTAAAACTAGAATGGCACTCGTTATGTCCCACTGTTCCACCGATTTTCAGGGAAATTGGTTGTGTAGTCTTTGCATAAACCTTCTGACAATCAAAGAAAAGGACAGAGGTGAAAACATCCTCGCTGTAGGTGATGAGGAATTTGATATTAGAGGTGAAAGGTCTGTTCTTTTGTCTGTCTTCTTCTTTTTCTCTCCTCTTTGTTTATCTATCCCTTCTGTCTCAACAGGCCATAAGCAACAAAGACCAGCACAGCATCTCATACACTCTGTCTCGAGTGCAGACGGTGGTGGTGGAGTACACCCACGACAGCAATACAGACATGTTCCAGGTAACGTCTTTCCTCTCAGTCAAACGTCGATGAGGGAAAGAAGGTTTTGTTTCTGGACGATAAACGTGTTTGAACTTATTTCATACATCCGTGCGTTGTTTGCTCGAACGTAGTCACTCTGGGAGGACACTGTGTGCCGTGAGTACAGTACACTGGTGATGCAATAAGCTGTCAGGAGCAGCACAGTACTCATCATCCTAGAATGTCCTCAAGGTTATTATGGGTTTTGTACAAGTTAGACATGACTGTGAAGCAGCTGGAAACTTTATAAATCACAAGTTTTAAACATTTGCTCGTGGAAGTAACCCGACAATAATTCTTCAAACTCCCTCTGAATGCTGCTCCTGCATATTTTCTACATTATTCAGTTTTTTTTGTCAGTTTCTGTAGTTGTTTTTACAGATATTTGTTATTATTACATCATATGTGGAATATTTTGATTTGAGCTAATCTTGACATCTTGTCTGGTGCATCTCTCTCCACCAGATCGGTCGATCGACAGAGAGTCCCATAGACTTCGTAGTGACCGACACTGTGGCGGGCAGCCAGAGTAACGCAGACACCCAGTCGGTTCAGAGCACCATCTCCCGCTTCGCCTGCCGCATCATGTGCCAGCGCACGCCGCCTTACACCGCACGCATCTACGCCGCAGGCTTCGATTCCTCCAAGAACATCTTCCTGGGGGTGAGCTGTCTTTCCTCTGGTGCCTCAGACACGTGTGGGCGAGCGAGAGAGTGAAAGGCAGAAAGATAAAAGGAACAAACCACAACAGAGCCGCAAGCAAATAAAGCCGAAAGAGGAAAATGAGATAAAAGCTTGTTTTGTGGTAATTTGAAAGATAAATGCCTGTTTCCTCTACTCAGTAATGTTTGATTTAATTTTTTTTATCTGTTCGTTGTTTAATGTCAGAAGCAAACTTCAGTCTTTATTTTTCCTTGGCAGTAAAATTGAAATGATTATATTTCAAGCTATAACATGTCACATGGACATTTAAGCAACAAAATACTGCAGCCAAAACTTTCCACTTACCTCGTTTCCTGTATTGGGCTCTACCCCCCGTTTGTGGATGAGCACATAAAGGGTGCCAGGTCCTGAGTCGGCTGAGTGACACACACCAGTTTCACATTAGATTCAGGACGATGATTATTCGACCCGTCCTCATCCTGCTCACGTCCGTCCGTCTATCTTTATCTTTGTTTCCTTCAGGAGAAAGCTGCTAAGTGGAAGACAGCTGACAGTCAAATGGACGGGCTGACCACGAACGGCGTGCTGGTGATGCATCCTCGAAACGGCTTCACCCAGGACTCCAAACCAGGCGTCTGGAGGGAGATCTCTGTCTGCGGCAACGTCTTCACCCTGCGAGAAACGCGCTCAGCCCAGCAGCGGGGGAAGATGGTGAGAGAACATGCACATGGAAATAACTGGTGCTGCGTCAATCACATTTAAAACTGAAGCGTATCGACTCGGGTGTGTTTATTATTTTGAGTTTTACCTTCACCTTCAAAAGAGTTGATGTTTCCAGTTCGCCTGATTTTTAAAACAACCACAAGTTCAAAGCTGCTTTTTCCACAGAAAGACCTCTTTGTCATTTGTCGTTCTCAGTCGTCCCTTCACGTTCACACTCACACACATACAGCGGGAGGTCAGTCAGAGCTTGACACCGCTCAAAGGTTATCAGGGTGCCATCTCCTTGGTAACGGGCTGTGTGTTACAGGGACCTTGTAAGAGGATCCTCCAGCAGACGTCAGTCTCTCAGCCAATCGCAGCGCTGCGGCCACCTGTGGCGTGTGTCCGGCTGGATTTATGTTGTTGGTGATTTTTTTCTTTTCTTCCTCTCCCCGCACATCATCATCATCTTGAACTCACAGCGGCCACAACATTAATCTGTGTCCTTATCGTGGCTCCCACATGTTTTCAAGTCTCTCCAGCGAATTAACAGCTTTCTTATCTCCGACTGGCCTTTACCAGCAAAGTGTTAACGGAGTGTGTGCACATCACAGTATCTCCCACTGCAGAGGACGGGTGATCGTGGTTGTCCGTGATGTCAAAGCACCAACTCACATGTTGTACGGTGATGGAGCGTGAAGAGGTTTCGTTGTTGAGAGAAGAACACTCAGTGAAGTCTGGTGTCTTTTATTTTGAAGGATCAAGTTAGTTCACTGGAGACAGTATTACTGTGCGCAAATGTAAAAATATATATAATCTGTAAATCTCACAGCACGTGTTCTCCTTCAAGAAGAAATCTGAAATCTAACAGGAGACATTTTTCGTGGATGTGTTCCAGGAGGAACTGTCTGATAAAATGCTCGTCCTTATTTTTAAATCTCACGTCAGTGTGTGTGTGTGTGTGTGTG